ATATTGGATGAAAAACCAGGGGCCATTTTATAAATTACCGAGCCGAATACAAAAGCGTGGGTTAATTGGCTCCCTTCTATTAACGTCAGGAAGAACAAAGGCGGGCCTGCCAGGAAAGCTTTTTATTCGGCTCGGTAAAATGGCTGCGAGTGGATTCAATGACTCTATAAGCTGATTAAGGGCATTGCAAGTCCAGATTTTATTATACACGCCCGTGGACTGCGCCCAGATAGCGCCCCCCTCCCAGGCGCGGCACGACCGGTCGGTAGATGGCGCTTTGTCTTATAATAATATATTTTTACGTTTTCGTTCTATATATTTTAAATTTTGATCTATATCACAACCAGTCTGGCGTGGAGGTGGCGGCGCTTCGTCCTATTTACTAGTTTCGTTCTACATGTATATTTACTAGTATCGTCCTATTTTTATGAGTTTCGTTCTATATATTTATTACTTTCATTCTATATTTATTTGTTTCGTTCTATATTTATTAGTTTCGTTCTGTATTTAATACTTTTGGTCTATATCTTTTAGTTTCATATATTTTTAGTTTTGTTCTGTTTTTATTACTGTCGTCCTATATATATATTAGTTTCATCCTACATATTAGTTTCGTTCTCTAGAAGTTTCGTTTCGCTAATAAATTTATAATTATGCACGCATGCGCACAAATGGCCTTGGTGGCAAGAAGTGCGAGCGGGCCATTAAAAAGGTACAGGGACGTGACTTTGATCATCATTTTCTCTCAGATTTTCTGGCTTTGTTAATTTTTTTCTCAGAAAATCCCTTTAAATCGTTTTTGCTATTGGCTTCTATCTAAGTGGGACTCTGTAAAAGGACTTCGATTTGTGATTTTTCCTGTGCGCACGCGAGATCGCAGTTTCTTAGTATATAAATGTAAGTGGCCTCTCTATGATCATAACTGGTATGAAGGTTGCAGTGCAGGCCAGTACATAACCGGGTTTGCCTGCGCGGACCGAATTCCGATTTGTAGAACATTCTCTGCTATTAGAGCTTGTGAGTATTTTTCCTGATTTTTTGAAGTGTGGACATTTATCACTGTTATCTATGGCAACTTATTTACTGGTCTGGACCTAAAGTTTGTTGTGTTTTTGGAGCCAACCTGTGCATTTATTAACACGTACTGATGGTTTAAATCGTACTTCGATAAACTTACGCAGAGAGTTTTCTCTAAGGGCGCTACCTCACGAACACTGGACTTGGAAACAGGTATTCAACAAGGTCAGATCCATTTTGGGTCCAATGCTTTTTTTGTATTTTTGTAAACACCTTGCCTAACTCAGTTACAGACGGAGCCATCAATATGTATGCTGACGATACTACGCTTACATTCTAAAAGTGGGACGCATGTTGACGAGATCAAACCTAAATTAACTGAGTAATGGTGTAAGTCAGGTGATGAATATTTATTGGATTGATGCCAATAAACTGGTGCTAAACGTAGATAAAACAACGGCAATGCTGGATCTCGGCGTAAACTAAATAGTATGAGAATTTTGATGTTATGGTTAACGGTCACGTCTTGAAAACTGGTCAAGCCTGGTTACGAAGGGTCTTGGTGTTTTAGAAGAGCTGCACTGGACACAACAATTAAAATCAAGTTGATATAAAGTTGCTAAAACCCGTGAGTTTGGCATGGTGTGTATTGTTTTCTTGTATGTAATATTATACTTTTACGTTTAATGTTTGTTTCAATCTCTTATCATTTTGTATGATTTTAGACGAGTTTTACTGTTTTCTGTTTGGGCCAGTTTTGGTTTTTAGATTATTTTAATTTATCAAGTGTGAGTTTTTAGTTTTATATAATTTTTATAGTTTTCCATTAAGCTTTATTTATGTATATATAATTTTAACATAATCAAAGTCAGGACTTTATGGAAGACCACCACATGGTGAATAAGTTATACCCTAGATAAATATTAGAAATAAATCAATGTTGAATACGTACATGTACATTGTACAGTACACGTACTGTGACATGTAGGTACACAGATCACCATTATATGCATTGAACCTGGTCATGGCTTGGAGTAATACGGAAAGAATTGGTATCCAGTTGTTGTGTTTGGGGTTGTGCGACAAGACAAAATGCAGATTCCAAAGAAAAAAAGATCTGGTTACCCAAGTGCAGAAAGCAGCTAGCCGCGAATTGAATGCGTGCATGTTTGTCTGTGACGTACGGCTACCACCTTCCACGCATGGCTAAAAAGACGTCAGCATAAAATTATCATAAGTACCCTTTCCCCGGTTGCGATATTGCTGCTTAAGTATGGGGATACCCGATACCCAGACGTAAAATAGCGAAGTTCGTATCATACGGCATTTGAGAACCTGATTATTTATCAACAAGCGCGTATTTTCACGAACTGTCCCGTTTAAGTTCCATCATTTGAACATATTTCCCCCAATTTTTACCTCACACGATCGACCATGATAAACGCAAATATTGAATTCAGCCTTCGGAAAGTGCTTGGTAGGTTCAGGAGAGATGAGTTCGTAAGAAATCTAAAAGACTGGAGTTTCATTTCATCTGATAGTTTGAGGGAAGTGGAGACAGTCGTAGCTCAATCGAAGAGCAGTCGTAAAGCTCTCGTTGAACGTGTCGTTCAACTTACCAAGGTAAGGGTGCATGTATGGATATGTTTAGCCCCACCAGTGTGGCACGGACTCTCACTCCCGCTCCATCCTTAACCACACATCCGTATGCGCAATTTCATGTCGGCGTACTGAAAATTATCGGCGTACCCACTTACCGTGGGTGCAATTTCTTTTGCACACAGAGATGATCCTTAGCCTCTCCGCTTTCTTAGTGTCATTGATTGAATGATTTCATTCACATTGTTCTGGTATTTCCCACGTAAATCGATGCGTGATCGCATAACACGTCTTCGTGAGCGTTTAGAGCAAGGCGAGTTCACCAGAATCTGTCTGCGCATACATGATGTCCTGTATGTACATGTACTTTGTAGCCAGAATGTGACCGGTATGGAACGTAATGGCATTCCAAAATGAATGGGTTAGGCTTGGTTTTCAGTTTCGCTGGTTCCAGTCAGTCTGGAATGCTGCATTCGGGACGACTAACATGTCTTTTTTTTACTTTGCGTAACAGTTCTCTTGTTAGCAAGGTTGGACTGTACATTCTGCAGTTCTGACAGTGTACGTTTGTGCATGCAGTCACAGCCACAGCCAATAATTCGGATGTGACTCTGTCTGATGAGTCAGTGGTGCTGTTTTGTTTATCACCCTTGCTTTAAATTGAATGGAGCATTGCCCATTCCTGGCGCGCATGTCCAATACATGGCACTGCCCAAATTGAGAATGAACTAGTATTGTGTGAATTTCCATACCAAAGGGTAAGCTTGGGATTACTTCTTTTGTCAGTTTGTAATTTTTGAGCGTTTCTTGTTTTGTTGCATTTTTCCCCTTTTTAAAAGGAAAAAAAATGGGTTGGCAATATTTTTCAGTGTCGGGCAGAGATTATCAATTTATTTGTTGTACTTAGCCTAATGTACAGAAGTTCCTGGATGTCCGACCGTGAGAATGTCACATGACAGACTCCTGCTTCTACATGTAATCTTACTGTGTAGAAGTAAATGGGAGATGTTTTAAACAGCAGCCTAAAATGTTATCGTCTGCTGAATCCAATTATAACATTTAATGGATCCCCACAGCAACGGCACTGGTAGTACTGTATCTCCAAGCCCACTTGAAGATATCAGAAATAAAGCATTCCAGGTTGGTCTTCAACCTTTGTTAGTGACTTCTACATTTACATGTACATGTAGTTTCTTTTGCCGTCCTCACAGGTCAAAAAGCTGACAACTCATGCCGTTGCACAACTTGACCTCATCTGTAAGTTTGTGTGTTATATGTGTGTGTGCATTTAGAATATACAGTGTACATGTAAATGTACCCTGATCCAGTGTGCAAAACCAGTCTTTTTTGCATTTTACAATGGAATTTTTATACTCAAATTAAGTTCTTTAATATGATTTTCCTTTTTGTAGCCATTTTGAACATTGGTACTTCAAAATTTGAAAAGATGGAATTTAAGCAATACTTGAATAACTTTTCCTTATTTCCAATTAAAAAACCTAATATTGTGAATTTAGATGTAAATTAAGAGAAATCATTTCCAGCACACATACATGTACATTGTACATGGACATGGATGCACAGACCATGTATCTGGGTCCCATACTGTACATGTACTGTATGCACTCATGTATACAGTAACAGAGATGCATGTATTGGTCATAATTCATACTTTTCTCTTTTTTTCGCTCTTGTAATTAAGTTCACCCATTTAACCAGTTCATCCATTTGTTTTGCTGTGTTACCAGATTGTAAGAGATTCCAGTTACCTCAAAGTTCACCTCTGAAACATTTTTCAACTGTTTAACTGCAATCAGCCTTTGTTCGTTGTTATGATTGACTGTTGGTGTACGAGATGATTCTTAAAAGTACACTGGTATCCACATGTAGATGTGGCAGTGTGTAGGCTCAAAAACGGTAGAGTTGACAGCCTATAACATATGGGTCATGCTAGAAATCAGGAGTCCAATTTTTTTGGCGTGTCCCTGTCATATCTGACTTATGATTTTGTAAGTTCAAAACAATTCTCTAATTTCCACGAGTGATGAAGTAATGCAAATTACGGTACTTGTGAAACCAGCAGAAATAGTGTCTTTGGAAATTACGCAGGCCAGGTGTAATACTTACAGGGACACAAAAATGTCACACTTTTGGACCCCAAATTTATAGAATGACCCATACAGCAAATCTTAGATTGTCAACCTTCGTAAAAGGATGGGAACATACATGTAATTGAGAAGGGTACACTGTATATCTTGAGGTTGAAATCATTACTTTCTTATTGTTTTTCTTCATTGCAATGAAGACCAACAAAACCACCCAAACAACAAAAAGTGGAGTGTCTTTCAACTAAGCAAGCAACAAGGTAAGTTTACATGCGAGCACATTTTACTGCGAATACATAGACATGTGTACATGTATATCTTTTTGCTTAAAGTGATTTTTTTTATTGATGAGCATCATTCAGATATATATTTGAATCTTTACAATTTTCTTCCAGTTGCTTCAAAATTTAAACATTGTTTGAAGTCATGTCCTTTGCAAACTTTGGATATACATGTACATGTAAAGCATGGGTTCGTATAGTGTGTCCCCTTTAGTGACAATAAGATGACCTACATGTACATGTAACCCTGTGAATTTTTGTAGCTTTGTACGTTTTTGACCGAATTCCATAGTCTTGGGAATGTTTCTTTTCTCTTCATGTCTTGTACTTGCAATAGCGCAAGTATTTTTTCTCCAAACCTCAGAAATAAGAATATTTTTTGTTGCAAACAGTCATAGAACTCATTTTTAAAACTGATTTTGCTCGCATGGAAAAGAGCCCCACCAATCACCTGCAACCTAGGCCCAATTTCATGGTGCTGCTTACTGCAAGCAAAAAATTGGTGCTTACTGTAGCAGAAAATTTTATGCCTACAGTGAATATATGTCATGGGTTGGCGAGGAATTTTGGCCTGTGCGCATGCCGTGGGGCGTACATGTGCACCCTGTAACTAAGAAGTCTGTGTTTAAAAGGTTAGCTCAGAATTTTTCTGCTAGCGCGGTTAGCGCAGAATGGAGATTGTAAGCGCGGGATTCTATCGTAAGCAGCGCCATGAAATTGGGCCCGAGTTTCAGAATGCAAGCAAGTTTGATTAGTTTCATTTTGTGCGTCAGGAGAAAATGATGCGCATTAGGGATTAACTACCCCAAGCCGGATGACGTGTAACTGCACACATTTTTTCTTATTCTTTCCATGGAGGAGGTGTACACTCTTTTCAGACTTTCTTTTTCATTTCCACGGTTTACGTATTTATGCATTGTGCTTTGTTGCGTCATAAATAAATTGCGATTTCGAAAAAAAACACCCCCGGCAGCTTTTTTTTATGTAAGAATATCGGACGTTAACTGGTTAATACGGTAGCTGTGATGAGTTCTTAAGGTATTCCTCAAGAGAAAAGTGAAAAAAGTAAAAAAAAAAAGTGACGAGGTTGTTTGTTCCCTTTACATTTTCAATGCGCTACTTGCACTTTCTGCTTGTTGACTCCAGGCTAATATATATTATCATTATGAGAATGCACTCATCAGTTAAAATATTTTTGCAAACACGTCTCTTTCATTCTTTAAATTTCAGAATACAGAGAGAAGCATGTTGTGACCTCACCTGATGCCTTTCAGGAACAACTTGGAAAGCAGCTATCCTTTTATTTTAAAAATGTAAGTGCTTCTGCATTGACCCTAACCACCTAGGCCCTTTTGGCTAGGATACACCGTCAATCCTTCAAAATCCTCTGACTGCCCCCATAGAAAAATTTGGATACAGTCTGAGTCCTTCGAAATCCTCCAATATTTCTTGAATATGTTCTGTGGAGGGGTGCCCACTGCCTCAATCCTTCAAAATCCGGCAGTTCCTCTCATTATGTTGAGGCAGTGTGAATGGTATCGTGGAGCAGTATGGAGGATTTCACATGTAATGCGGGCATACCTTTATGCATGGCTGAACATAAACAACACAAGGTCTACTAACCTACAACCTTTAGACAATGCATTCTTTGCAATCAGCAATGCAAGTTTGCCATGTAGTTTCAATCCTTTAAAATTGACATGTACAGCAACTTGATACTGAATCAAATGTCACAGAATGTAACCGAATGAGCCTTAGGTTTTACGCAGAAATCAATGTCACGGGACGAAATAAAGAAGTCACAATCATTACTTTTCAATAATGTGTATGCATAGTCAGTAAGGACGGCATCCCTATACAGAAACCACTCATGCACATCATTTTGACAAAACGGGTGTTCACTCTGTCTTTGGCTGTTTAAAATTTTGTCCATCCATGGGTCATTTTTGCTTGGTGGAGAGTGCTTTTGTGTGTGACTTGTGATTCTGTAACCAAGTTGCTGTGCTTGTCAATTTCTCCTTTGTTATAAAGATAATCACTTGCATTTGGGCATGTGATTAGCAAGGGGTATTGTAGCATACCTGTGTACAAAAATTGTTCGTTTCTATGGAGTGAATTTTTATGTGTGGCCTTTGACAGAAGTGACAAGTTTCTTTTGCTGTCTAGTGTATTTTAGAGGGAACTATTTTGCTTTTGTCACACAAGGTGCTACTTGTCAAAAGAGCATAAGGAAAAAAACCACAAAAATTGTCCTGAAAATTCCCTACTGCTAAAGTTTTGAAAACATTGCTTATTGCTTTTGTCCAAATAAGAACGATAAAGTAAACAATATAACATACTCCAAGAAAATGTAGAAAAGTGATACACAACACAGAGTAATGGAGGCACAACAGTTCTGGTATGGATGACATGAATTGGCTCAGGAACAGAGTAAAATTGTATCAGCATAAAAACCAAAATGCTTAAGTTTCTCTCTAACTGCTTCAAAGAAGATTTACATTCATACATAATTTGTTTTTTGTTGTTTGTCTTTCCCTTTCAGGGCTTTTTATTTAAGTTTCTCTTGTTTATTACATTAGATTTATAAATAAAGAGAAGTCAATACACAGTCAATTCACATCAGACATTAATCAATTACACAGCCATTTTGTTTTCTTGCATTGTTACTACATGTACATTAACAAATGTAGGAACATTGCAAGAAAACTTTCTTGTATTTACTGAAGTCTTGAAAATCCTGTTTCATGTCTCCATGAAAGTGACGAGAAATAGCCCAGGTACAGTTACTTGTCAAAACCACAGTCAGGACGGAAGAATTAATCAGTTTGTGGTGAAAATGCATGTACATCTACAGTTTGAGATGAGGAAGCTTCCAGAAATGACCGTAATGTTTCTCACAAAGAGTTGTTGTGGGGAAAGGCTTTACCAGACACCAGGAATATTGTCCACCTCATTTGCCTTTTTGATGAAGATTTTGAACTTGACAAACTAGGAAACCTACAGTATGTCTACATGAATATGATTTATTTTTTCTGTACAATTTAGTCAAATCCAACGTGCCATACTGGAGAAGTGATTCCACCCTTGAATTTTGACATCCTTGTCTCTCTGGAACCAACACTTTCCTCTGTAGGATCTGTGTCTGAGGACGAAAGGAGATGCCTGGTGGGTTCGGCTGGGAATCCAGGAGGGATCGCAGTCCCAGCGACTATCCCCCAGCAATGTGGTCTACATGGTACACCACCCCCACTCCCAGTACATCATCTTGTCGAGCATCAGAGTATCCCACAAAGATTTTGTTATGCAGGTAAGGGATCCGTTTCTGATGATGCAGTCATCTCATTCTACATGCACATACTGGTAGATTTTAGGTTGGAGGTACGCTAAACTAACAGTGAATGAAAACGCAAACTGTTTTGAAAGCAGCTACTTGAAAAGCACCGACCGTAATGTTTCTCACGAAGAGTTGTTGTGGGGAAAGGCTTTACCAGACACCAGGAATATTGTCCACCTCATTCATATCCCTGATTACGGTGTCTCTTAACAAGCTTAATGTTGGTTAATTAAGCCATCTTACTGCTTGCAAAATTGCCACTCCCTAATTAGCTAAAATTGGAATTGCATGTATGCATTTTTGTTGATTGTTAGCTTTTTAACTTTTCAGGATGTGAATGAAAGGTACAGGGAATTCAGTCGTATCAGTCGGGTGCAATGGCTTGAGAATGGATAGTCCATTGATCTCCCTGAGGTATTGGTATTGGAAGGTGACAAACTAGATCTTGAGATGAAGCTAGGGGGAGGGGGTAACTACATAGTAGTTTGTCAACTTTCAATAACAAGGGAGCTGAAATTGACTATCCCTCTCATAGAAAACATTGCAGATTTTACTTGTACCCTACAGGTTTTTGAGTTTTGCACTCCGTTCTGGAAGTCAGTAACAAAGGTTCAAATTTGTCTGCATTCCTTTTTCTTTTGTTTCACAGTTTTGATTTGTTTTATTTTAATCTTCTTGGCTTGTTGGCTACTTTTTGAAATCTTTTTGACACGTGGGCTACTTTTTCTCTTGAACAGGATTTAGAGTCAGCTTGTTTTGTTCTTTGCTAGATTGACCTCTGCTCTACTTCATTATGCCAGTACCATTTGTGTGCAAGTGGCCTGTTAAAGAGCAAAAGTTCCTTTGAAATTGCATCCACATACTTTGCACAGAAGTGGTGCAAGCCAAGTTGATTTCCCTATAAATTTCAGTTCCATTGTAACATGCACAACTTGAACTCCTCAAACTTCATTTGAAACATTTACAAACCACTTCATAAAGTAAAAATCAGGAAACATGCCATTACAAAAATGCCTTCAGGGCTCACTTAATTTTTTTCGTTATGTAAAAAATCGTACAAATTGTACTTTTTCACAGTAATACTCGCTTCCCCCATAAAGATTTCATGGTCTATGGTCATTTTTGACAGTTTACATTTGGTATGATTGTGAAAGTGAAAGGTAAATTTAGCAAAAGCCAGAAGATCCCCCCCCCAGTGATGCCCTTTTTTTTTTCTTCCAGGCTTTACTAAACAGCCTCCACTGCAGTGAAATCCGTGAAATCCAGTTGACAGGTCGTGACCTTGACTCTCTGGCTTCCTTGGCGCTGCACAGCAACAGTCAGGGATGGTTTTCCCAGTTCCGACTGGGTCAGGTGGACCACAATCCCCTGTCCAAGGCGCCGTCCAGGAAGAGAAAAGGTACATTAGTGTCTCTCCCTCTAAGGTACATGTACGTGTCCAGCATACGGTACACAGACATATAAACGCATAGACCACCAGTCGTGCACTTATAACCGCGATTTTGAAAAGATGGGCAAACAGTTAGTGAAGCGACAGATGGCAGCGCGTTCAGTGCACATTATGCGCAACGCACTTACATTGCCTGTATTGGTTTATATGTGCTCCCAGAATGCGTTCACTTTGTTTACTCTTCGATTTTGCTATTGCTTCTTTTCAAATGTTGCAACCGCATTGTTATGAATCCCTATGGGCCAGATTGAGCAAATGGAGGATTTTTTTCAATCAAAAAGTGGCTTCATAGAATTTTATAGCTGGAATTCTTCCACTGTGTGTGAATTCCCAATACCAAGGGGTGAATTTGCCCATAGTTTTGATTTTAGTCGGGTGCTGCGCAGATCACGAAAAACCCTGTAGTTATGAATAGGATCTGGCAGTCTACGCGTTTATACATGTATGTCTGTGATGTGGTGGCACGGTACCAGTCATGTATTACGCATTCTTGTTTCAGTGGACTGAAACTGCTACATGTAGGTCACATGACTTATGGTGGGTATTTGTCGAACAAGGCATCCTCTTCTCTGGAGCCCCCCCCTTCTTAGAGGTGACAAACTGAGAAGGAAAAACATGGTGATTTCTGTGCTTGGTATTGGTGTTCATGTTGGTCATTTGTGACCCACCATTCCTAAAACTAGGTTGAAGGGTTTTGTCGCTATTTGGGAAATAACACCAGTGTATGCATGAACAATGCAAATTCCACAATTGTCACTACTTGTAGCAAAGCTTTCTTCAGACAAAGGTTACAACATGGATCACTTTGAATGTAAAAATTTACGGCAGCGGGACAGATATTGTTGAATAGTCGTGGAATGGTAGGTCACATTTTTGAAAAGCATGAAATCCCCCTAACTTCCTCTCTCCCAGTGTACGGTTTGAATGCTTGTACATACAACAAAGTACTGACAAAAACGGATGACCTCTGTATTTATGTACTATTTATATGTATATGTACCAGTAAAGGTACTGGATATTATTGCAGTAATCTAGGCTTGGGTGCCTTGAAATACGTGTACATGTAAGTATTTGTACATGTAGGCCATGCTGTATTTGACTTTTAAAGGATCCAGGACATGAATTTTTCTTAGAATCACTTTTTGTGTATCTCTGTACTCTTCTCCCGTGTATGAAGACTGTTTGACATCTTTTTTGAGCTACGTGAACTGAACAGTGCACTTTTTCAAACATAAAAAATGACCAAACAATTCTGGACAAGTGAGGGTGCTTTTGCTTTGATGTACATTTTAAATCCAGGAAGACATGGTTCAGGTTTCATGTTTTCATGTTCAGATTGTGAACCCCAAATTTGCTATCGGAGAACTTTTCTGTGAAAAGGATTTTTTGCTTGATAATTGCCATATACTTTAATAAACAGCAATAAATTGCCAAAGAAAATGAAATCTGCCATAACAGTGGTGAAAAAAATCTAGAAATTTTCAATGCACAAGTCAGTGCAACATTGAGAATGAGATTCAGTGCCTTGGATGACATCATAGTTCTGCTCATGAATATGCAAATATGCATTACCATAAAACCAAAAAAGCATCAAAATTTGGGTTAAAATTGCAAAACAAAAATTTAAAATCAGGTTAATTGAAACCCAAAGATGCGATTTCAAGGGTTGAAGTAAAATTTATAACAATATTTCTATTTCCTGGTTCCTTTAACTAGTACTACATGAATCTGTCAGAAGACCACACATGGTTGTTATGCACGTACATTTTATCCGTAAACTAGAAATTTGTGGTTTAAAAAAAAAAATTAAAAAAGTTTCTGATTTCTCTGCACGTGTTTATCTACCAGCTTCGACAGACGTGTCAGATTCAGACATTGTCTTTGAAAATCAGGCTGACAAAGAACAGAGGGAACAACAGATTCTCCATGCGTTCGGATCCAATGAGCAGCCCAAGCTACAGAAGATAGAATACAGGGTAGGACTGATTAGCATTGAAGGAAACATTGCATATAAAATGCGTTGATTGAGCAAAGCTCCCACAGAATGCATTGGCCAGCGGAGTGAGAATCACCAGACATGCTGACTACAGTTGACAGAAGTATGACATGTATGAAGGTGTTAGAGAGATAACCAATTCATGGACAGGTTCTGAGCAGGACCACAGATTAGACCCATGTATATGACAAAGTGCACCAGAGACTGCAAAGTCTTCCAAGCTCCCCTCATGCATGTAGGCACTGGGGATCGTAAATGGCCAAACTAGCTGAATTTGTAACTTCAGACAGCACATACAGCACAGAGCCAGTTGTGCTAAGCCAATTAAATTGTATTTTGTGTACATCATGAATTGCAGAATACATGCATTGTTTGCAAAGTTACTCTTGTACATAGTGCAGAATCAAATGCATGAAATGCTGAGGGCCTAAAGGTTGAATATACATGTGAGGCTACAGATTGAAATTAAGAGTGCTTGTAGGAACCACTGCTGTTGTCAGACCTCTGCAGTGCAAAACAATTAAGTTGGTACAACTGTTTACTGATTTGAATGGCCTGAAAAAATCACAAGAGTAAAAAGGCCTGATGTGATCCAGGCAGAATCTTTCTCAAAGGCAAAGAGAAAGATGAAGCATAGAAACATAATGTTAGGCCCTCGATAAAAGGTGTCAGATTTTCTGTTGGAATATACTTGTTATAGATCCAGACAGGACACTTGTTTCACTTTCGTCACCTTCTCTGTTCCTCCACCAGCTTGAAACCAGGTTCCGAGGGTCCGAATTCGCTCCAGCGATGGCCCTCCGCAAGGAACCTTTCCACTGCAAGGTCAAGTTTGAAGGTTCCAGCGTCCTTGAGGGTATTAAGGAGCTGGGGAAGGTCGGGCTGACTTCCTTGCCACTACCCCACCACCTTGGCAATGTACACTCGCTGGCCAAGAACCACTTTGTGCTGGCAGACAAGAAGCGAGTTCGACCAGAACAGAAGTGAAATGTTCACACAACAGTCACATGCAACCTTTGTTCCAAAATGCCCCTCATTATGGGTAATGATACGTTCACTGCTGCCAGTTTGCATGTATTGAGTGTATTAAGACTCCTGCAATTGAACTTTTGGTCGTTGTCATGCGATCATGCTCATATCAGACTAAAGAAATCAAAAGAAGTGAAGCTATGAAGATGAGTGAAGGGCCGATTCACATACAGTGCACCACCAAGAGGTTTCCCTGAAGAGACCATGTTTCAAGTTTTTGATCGAACAAAAGCACTGCCACCTTGCCCTGATTAGCATTTGAGCGTAGTAGAAAAGTTGTGGAAAATGTTGATAGGCTGTAACATTCCATGCAACAGAAAGAAGAAAGGTTAGCTTAAAAATGCTACTTCAACTACACAATACACACTTCCATTTTTTCTTCCCTGACAAGCAAATTTTGGGAATAAGTTATCGCGCGCAGTAGGAAAATAGAATTTGTTGATCAGTTCCTACAATGCACTATAAAAAGGGCCTTTTCTTGGCAACTTTTGTGTGGCACTCTTTATGGTAAATTGGCTCAACATCTCTGTGGCTTGTCCTTTACTAAGCAATGAAATCATATCCCAGCCTGGAAGTATTTTTTTCTGTTAAAGGACAGCTGCTTTGACTGTTACCACGTCAGCAATGTCATATATGTTTTTATGCATGGGACAGTTGGTGTTGTCTGTAACCAGCTTCCAGTGCTACGGCTACACCCATTCCTATGCTCGACTCTCATACAGTTACATTGTTGGCAGTCCTAAAATTTTTCTGTCATTGTTTTCATCTGGCATGCAACACAAAACACCTGAGAGTTATTGTACTGATAAATAGTGTCAACCGTTATAACAAGACACTTAATAAAGCGCAGCACTAATAGGCAAACTGTCTTGACCCCTTCAACTTCGTACTGTTGGTCTCTTGCCCAGTGCATAGTTATACAATGTAGTCACTGCACCAACCAGTTTTCTATGGAATGGGCACAAAACTGATGCACGAAAGTATGAGTACCATTCCATATGTAACAGAAAAACACAGAAAATACTGTCACTTTTAAATTTCTAACACAGATAACAGTTGTGCCTATACGAAGCATTCAGTATTTTTTAACTTGTGCCATTGAAACTACCCATTTCAAAAAGGATGTTTTTGCACTTTGGAAGTGGTTGTAGCTTCATTGCTAGCTGAGCTACATATTTATTTTGAAAACGTTTCTTCTGTTGGGCAAAAGTTTAGCAACGGAAAATTGTTAGATGAAATGCTAGACTAAATATGTTGACTTGCCCAAAGTTTCTGTAGAAGTACATGTATTTGTACCAGTGTTGAATTTGATGTGCCACACTTGAGCGAAATGACTGTTTTAAATTTCTTTCTTTTAACTTAAAAATATATTTTTAACTTTTTATGGCTACTGGCTAAGAATGCTGTTAACAGCCCAAGATATTTCTATTGATGAGTTTCTCAAAAATTGGCTGATCAATCCGTTGCTACTCACTGAAGCATACATTATTCTTAACACTTCTTGTATAGTCTTGTAAACCAGTGACAATCCAGTCTACAGAATTTAACAGCCGTTTACACAAATAGTATAAATGCCACAGAGCAATAGTAAACATTGTGTTGAGTGGTGTTTACAAACGATTGGTCTTTAAAGACCATTGGCACTATAGTCTGTGCACTGCCAGTGCGCGATTTGAAGAGTGCACTTCATTGACTAGACCTGAGAAAGAAGTTGTGCTTAACATAATATTAGGGGCGGATTTGACCCCCTTAAATCAAGCATTTCTTGCACAAATTAGTGTGCTGTTGATTTCAGTTGTCTGTGGTCCGAGCTTTCTAAAGTGAATAAGCCACTTGCGAGTTAAATTTGAATGAAATCGGGTACACTGTGTTATCTGATTGCACATACACGTAACAATTTGAATTCCCCAGACTAAAGACACTGTTACTATACCTCGTGATTTGGATCAAGCTTTTGCATAGCTACCACCATTTCTGGGATGGACTGGTTCCTTTGTGCCGTTCTTATCAATTGAGAACAGTGTATTGTTGCAAGGCGTCTCTTATGTAACTTAGCAAAAGCTTGCCCCGAATCACGAGGTATAGCAACAGTGGTTTTAGTGTGGAGAATTCAAGTTGTTATGTTCATGTGAATTTAAAGAACTGAGTGTACCAGATTTTATTAAAATCTAATTCTCAAATGGCTAATTGTTGAATGCTGTTGGATCGTCTCGGGTACAATCACATAAAAGCCAGAATTTCAACCCAAACGCAGGGCTATTGGCTGCATTTGAATTTTTAACTACAAAAATGCCTTTATATTCATGGATGTACATGTAAATCTGAAATACGTGTATTGTTAATTGCATTTTAGTACTGAAAGAGAATTAAAGGACACACAAGTCTAACTAAACAAATGCAATAGGAAATCTTTCTCTTTAGATCATTTTACCTATCGAATCTTACATAAGTTAAAAGCTACCATTGCGGCGATTTTTGTGGCATACATGTCGCAATTGTTAAACATACAAAATATAATTGTAATAGCGCAAATTATCAGCTTGGTCACGTGGTTGTGCTTTTCCTCCGACAGGTGCGTGCGCGTTTTTGGCACCTGGGTCCTTATCTCCATACGCGGTACATGTAACAATATACAATGTACATGTAATTTATTGGTTTCGTTGTGAATTGGATTTACAGCACCTGTGTCTATTGCCAAGACGTTTCCCCTGGTATTGAGGCAAGCTTGAACGATTATCGGAATCGAATAAGATTGATAACTTGGGCCGTCGGTCGAGCCGTTTGTCCGTCCAAAAGTCATGTGGCACCCGGGTCCTTATCTCATGAAAATTGTTGTCCCAGTCAATAAAAACACATCAAAATCCACAGCAAGAGTTCATAGTTAGACCACTAAATTAAAATATAGAGAATATAATCACAAATGTTATACAGTCCGAGTCGACCACATTTACTTATACACCAAAATATGAAACAATACCCCTAGACACAAAATACCATCCCCTTTAAAAACCTTGAAGTAGCAATACGTTAGAAAACATTGCTATCGTAATGTCTAATGGACGTATAGGGATGAAGGAATTCCTCAGCCTATTGGTGGTCAGCCTAAGTTGTCTTATCCTACCAGGCCCGCTTTTAACAACACCGGGATGAAGCAGGTGATTGCTGTCAGACACAATGGTCAGGACTTTGTTCTCCATATCTTTACTTACTACATAAAGTATCCAGCTGCTTAATGTCAGCGCCTACCAACCCGTATTCGTATTTTATAATGCGATTCAATTTTGGAATGTTCTCATGTGGCAGCCCATGACACCACACTACACTACAGAATGAAAAAACAGATTGGATGACTGCCTGATAAAATAGATACAAAATATCACTTTGGACACTGAATGATTTCATTCTCCTCAGAAAATACAGAAATTGATTACACTTAGCACTGATTTTTCTTGTGCTACACTTCTATTCAGCTATTATCAATGTTACTCCCCCCAAGTACATGTACTTGAAAGACCGAACCGAACGTTTAGCGAAATGCTTTCTGTAACTTTGACAGGACGGGGTTCCTTTTGAGTCCAGAGCCGGGTCCGGACAATCTCATCGCCGGGGGGGGGGATTCTGCCGCTCAAAACAACTCTGCTGTCCCATGCTCGATGTTTGTAAACTTCACATGCATGTGAAAACACTCATCAGTATAACTGTGGAGTTCCGTCTAAATCTGACCTGTGGTTTTGTTGTTACGGTCATAGAAAAGAAGGGCCACGCGCATGGCAGCCCGCGTACATTGACCACGGCAATCGAAAAGTATACGTTTGGCTGACCTGTCTCGGGGAAAATGGGCGCTGCGGGAGTACGGTATGTTCGAGTTTTACAAAACTGTTGTCAAAATGTATTAACCTACTCCAAAAACTCCTAAAGGCTCAGCTCCTAAATAGTGCACCTGGGAGGTATCGAAAAAATGGCTTGGCAGGACTGGATTCCGCCCTAGCTCTTTTAGGGTTATGGCTTTTGAAAAAGAAGTTTTTAATACTAAAATTGTACTGCAGCGTATTTGCAGTAAAGGTTATGTATGTAAGGCTTCTGTCAAAGTTAGTCCAGTTCGCGACATCCAGGAATCAGGAAAAATCGACGTTTGATCGCCCAATTAGGAGATAGCAGTATAGAAAGACGCAACAATAGACATACAATGCAAACAAGCAGCAAAGTGTAAACACAAACAGACCCACAATATAGAAGCCGAACGTCCATCATATATACACACACATTGAATAACATGTATAACAATACAAAAGCCTATCCATTATGATACATTTTATTTCCATGTTTTACATCAAGTAAACGATAACATAGAATGTATTGAATTTAATTTTTACTTTAATAAGTACAAGTAAAATAATATACAGGTAATTTCTTCATTGAGAGAGCATGATATAGCTCAAAGGCCTGCAAAAAGCCTCAAACTTTACTTTTTTACCGACAAGGAACTTAATTGTCTATACTATTCATACTTATTGGATCTGGGTCGTCAATGTCGCTTTTAAGCTCCAGCACGTGCAAGAATCTGTGAATAGGTGGACAAGAAAGAAAAACCAATGATTTGTTTGCAACTGTGAATTTGCTCTGTGAACCTATGACTCATTCCCAGTGGCCTAAATCCACGACCGCGGTTAGGGATGATCAAAACCGCTGAACCTTACCGGTCATCTGATCTCGAAAGCGGGGAGGGGGATAACATATTAAGTCAGGGTTGTTTATAATGCTAGATGTATAAAGAAACGCGGATGAGTACAGAGTAAATGTGTGTATGTGCGAAGAATGCTTGAACGTTATAGTTGCTGGGAATTGGAAGGTGTTTGGAATGCCATAAGAGACATCCCCTAATGAAATAAAATTATTTTGTACTAGTTTCACGATGTATTCACCAATATTGATCAATACTGCTTACATGTAAACACGCGGAGGATTCATTACATAGTTGCAAGATACTCCTTATTTGGTACAGCTGAGCTGGTAAAGTAAAACTTTAAGTTTAGATCTTGGAAACGACAAAAGAACAAGCTAAACGTATATGCCTTGACGAAGGGGTCGTGGGGGGTCAAGGGCAGGTCAGAACAACCCTCCAAAAATGGGCCTTTGGTATAAATATACACTGGCGTAGAAATCAAGAAATCAGTTTCTTGGGATACATGGCAACACGTCGAGCTTTATCATTGAATGCGGAGCACCGTGACAGTGTACAATGACAACGTACTTTTATTTGTTAAATACAAATAACCACTTTCTATATAGACGTTTTTAAAGTCGCTTTCTCTGGAAAAGTCACTTTCAGATCACAGCCTTCACATCAAACTGCAGTTCGGGTAATATTTGCTGGATACAGGTATTTGACATCCAGAACCGGTTTTACTGGTGTACCAAACTGGCATATTTGCGTTGAAAAGAGCTAGGGGACTCACATGACAGGGACGAGTATCAGTCCGCACATCAAGGCCATTACAAGAAAGAGAACAACGACATGTCCTTCAGTAACTGCAAATGAGTACGCAACCTTCTGGATGATAATGGAAAGTGCTACAGAGACGGCTGAGAGCAGCGAGGACATGGCAAACAGTGCCCCTGCAGAGAACAAATTAAACAAGTATATGTGTAAGCTTTCGACTCTGCAGATCGACACTTATGATTTATTTTAAACGGGAAGTGAAGTTTGCACTGCCAACACTGCTAAAATCGCATGGTACTATTGCACCTCGACGTCCCAACAAAGCTGCACTTAAAGCGAAAAAGAGACCGTTTTGAGTGCACTCCTACGCGGTCGAAGCATTGTGGGTGAATGTACCGTATTTGCTGTTCACATCCACGCATGTATCATCCTCGTTCCCACGGGTACGATCTTGTACGATCTGTTGGTTCCCACCATGCCTTGCGCGACAGCGAAGGAACGTGCTCGCCGCTTACTGAGAGATTGCGTCCACAGGCATATAAACGCATAGACCACCAAATCCTATCCGCCCTCAGCTGAAGTGCACCCCCCATCGGCGAAAGAAAGACAGGTCGTTACAAGCTGGTTCTCACACGCGGTCTGCGTGTACGCAAAGACCATACGGGTGCAGACCACTAATTCAAGTGAGAATTTCTGGCCAGCTCATTAGCATTAAAAGTGCCTCCCACAGTATCTTTTGAAAAAGGAGATTGTTTGGCCCCCAAAACGGTGAGATTGTGTAAATTGTTGCCAGGATGAACCCCCTGGGTCTTTGAGCTTTCATATGAGAGCAGAATGGCTAAAACTACGGTTAAAAAATGGTTCTAAGTGCCCGAGAAAATTTAGGGTTGCCACTTAAAAATGGCTGCAATCATACTTCCGAAAAATCACTTTTTTGGGGTGATATTGCTTTGTGGGATTAATTAAAAATGTAAATGGTTAATCCACAAAAAAATGAAAAGAAATTGAAAGATTAGGGACCAGACTATAATTTCACGGTATTTCTGAAATCTCAGGTGTAACTGTCACATATAAATTTCTCCACGTGTGAACGCTCAAATCATACACCATGCAGACTTCTGCAGTTGTTCATCCACCATTTGTTTATTCAACAAACTTCAAATGATGACATCTAGCGATCTCGCGCCTTATACCATCATTGTGAATGAGCGAGTAACTGAGGTTCACTATATGAAAGGAAAAAGAAATCGCCTTAAGCACAATGCACAATGGTGCCTTGCATGAAGTACATATACAACGCACATAACGCAAGTAAACACACGTGCATGCAATCCAAACCTACGTTCTTTACACCCCCTGAAATAATGCTACCTATGTCCCCTAACCCCCACAAGACCCAAATGTAGAATAACTCTTCATAATATAATTACCGACACTTGTGGAGTCAGGGATATGAGATTTCATGATACAGAATGTCTACGACTCCTTCTGAGTTCTCTTTTTTCATTGCGCCCGACGTGCCCGTGCAAGGTGCTCTCCCTTATCCAAAGGTAAACAAGCGAGGACGCTATTCAACAAATAACAATGTTACTGCACTACGCTACGTCAGGGAAGTTGTTATGCATGTTATTAGGCCTGAACAGTGCTGTTTTTAATGGGGCTTGAATTAGTGGACTGTATCCATACATGCCGGAATAAATTAGTTACGTTTACTCAGCGTTCTTGGCGTAAAACGTGCATAGGCCTATACTTGCGCGCCTCAAGGCGCGCCTATATGCGGTACCACTCCCCCCTCAAAAACACACACACACAAGTGTGTATTTGCCTGCAACTGGGGACCCCCTATTGTTCCTCTTTTGTTTGTACTTAAACTTTTTTAGAAGACCACCCATATGTTTTGTACACAGTTGTCAATCGGGGACCCTCTGTCAATCGGGGACCTTATTGTCGTCTATTGTTCAGGGTCCCTGAATGAATGCAGAAACAAACTCACATACACACAATAAACAAAAACAAAAAAACGAAGCATGTAAAGTATGGTGTAGCTCGTACGACATTGTGCATTATTAACACAGTGTTGCGTTGCTTATACAGTGGTTCATTATTGACGCAGTGTGACTTTAGCTGATGCGCAGTGTATTGGTTGTGCGTGTGGTGCATAAGGTGATGCATTTGCGTGTTGCTGCTGCGATCCGTTAGTTAAGCGCTCACTCCAATTGGAGTGAAGGACCCAGGTAACCAACAACCCTCCCAATCACTGTACATTGCATATGTTGATAACTGTTGAATAAATTGTATTTACCGACACGTCTTTTGTCAAGGATTGTTTTCTTTGTAGGGCTATTGTGTAACTTTAAACAGAGACTAATTCACACTCAGTCACAATCGGTGGGATGCTTCCTTCAACGGACCTGCATTTTTAGCCTTGAGGTCGCTCTGAGAGGTATCTCGTTACGGAAGAGCCCAAGGTTCTGAAGATTGACTCTGCCACAAATGGTGATAGATTTGATCCCATCAACTTAGGGTAGGCCCAGGGATGCCCCTCACAATATTCATTATAACACTGGAATTCTCAATTCTGACTGCTTGGTCTTAAAAATAGTGCGATATATTCCACAGTCAATCTTTTTTGTTGCACATGTACAAGGAACTCAATAAACAACGGCCAGGATCTGTACTATTCATGTACATGCATATTTTCTAAGCACGTGTTCTTGTTCGAATGAGTGCTCCACAAATCTGCTTCACGCATTTGCCTTTTCTGTCTTCCTGGATTGCTGAATCTCTACAACGTTTTAGTCTTGTACATGAATGAATGGGCTTTTTGACGTATTGGAGCACACACGCGAAGTGAGTGTACCGATTGAGCGAATCGTTCGTATGAAATAAGCCGTCTTTCCATATGCGCGTCAACACGTACGCCGAGCGTTGCGTATCCGTCAAAATCGCTTCCGGCGACTTTAACGGCGGAACACAACGCACACGTGTGTTACGATAATGGAGTCGATTTTTAAGTCTGTGAAAGTGAAACATATGAACGCATTGTGTACGCAACGTAGCCAAAAATGTACATATGGAAAGGTGCCTTTAGTTTTTCGTTCATGCGATTATGATTATGGTAATTCGTAAGAACGATTCAGTACTCCGTTCTTACCTGGTGTTAATACGGCTGTTTCACAATAGCGCGCCACCAAAGAGTTTGCAAAGCGTTGACCAATCAATGCGCAAAATGTGTCGACCAAATGCACGTTTTGAAATCGTCGACAGATTTCGCGCGTTGTGATTGGCCGACGCGTTGCAAACGCTTAGTGGCACACTTTTGTGAATTGCGCATTCGTAAAAAAAATATTTACCATGTGCTTTTCGGGGTTCAACAGTAAAACCTGCTTGGTGCGCCACCATTTTATTTTCAGACACATTGCCTCACTTATATTGTGGTGATATGAATTGTATACATACCTTGATTTTTCGTGTCAACAGTCTTTGTCATGAGAAGAACAAACATTGGCCTTGAAGCACCGGCGGATATACCAACTAACGAGGCTGAGAAGAAAAGGGAGAAAAAGGAAAAGAATGTTAATATAATTGCATGCCAGATGTTGGCACCTTAGTAATTTTAGCCCAATCAGGGATAACAGCCATGATGGCAGGAGGAGCCTTCAGAGGGACATCAGCTGGCTAGAATTTCAATCACTGTTCCTAAGATGAGGTGTACCACCCTTCTATAGGGCCAAAGGCATGCTTTCGATGGACTAAATCCTCAAGGTTTTCCCCCGAATCTAGCAGCCAATGTGCAGACGTTAGAACTAAGATTCACTTTTCACAGAGGCAATTTTCTGCTTCCCTCTCTAACCCTGGCTTTAACGGCTCAAAACAGTGAGAGTCTGATAGTGCGATGTTGCTGGTCGAGGTACTGCAGAAACTTCTGGAGGACGTCTTTTCTTTTGGGCCTAATGACAAAGGTATTGTCCTCGTAGTGTTACAGAGTGGAGACTGGGCTTGGTATCTTTGGTTAATTTAACGTTTCAAATTCTTTCATGAAATTCTCTTGGCTTAAGATCTTGTTTTGAAACCAGAGGCAGAAGAGAAGATGCAAGTATGGAGGAGGCCTGTTAGTTGCGCCACAGAAGAAACAAGCACCTAGCATCGTAGATTCCGCCTTCAAAACCTTTCATAAAGCCGACAAGGATTATTCGACTATATCAAGAAGATAAATAACACTCTGACCTGAGAAGCCAACAACCCCTGCCACCTGGAGCTGCCCAAACGAACCCATGGCTGCTAAGGAGACTGCCATACTAAAGCATACTTCTGCAACATGCCCCTTATCAGCTAGGGCTCTTCCAAGGTCATAGTTCCAGTGACGAACACTTGATCGCAAGGATCGGGGAAAAGAGATCGAAAGGCATGGCACAGTTTTTAAAGACATTGGTTTCCACCTCAGTCCCCAGCATCCAATCTGAATCATCCTCTCCGCACTCCAGCAACCCCCATCTGACATCCACTATTCCATGCTCCAGAAGAAAGAAGCACCTGGCATCCCACATTCATAAAATCGGTCAAAAATGCACCTTCGCTAGTCTGATAACAGATCCGAAATATCAGTTCAAACCAAACATGACGTCGAACATGTTATGTAGAATCCTCCATAATCTCCACAAGACTGCACTTGCAGCAGAAGCAGCCGCTTTAAATGCCCTGCTTCAGTTCGCCGATGCCGATAGTGCAAAAAAGGCAGAGCTAAAAATGAAGGAGGCTCAGCTGAAAAAGCTATGTTCCATGCGAGACATCCAGGTAACCTAGACCAAACTTAATGCTATTTGCAGAGTGCAGCAGCAGGAAGATGCTTCTTCCAGCACAAGTGAGATGATGGAGCCAGAAGACAGAGATTTATTCTTTCCAGATATTTGGAGTGGCCGTGGATACGGCCACTCCAAATATGGTTTACTGGGTTGTAATTGTAATTGTACTTGTAATTGCTTTTTAGAATCTTTTGAGAAAGGACAGGTACATTTTGACCTATCCCATTTGTCGACGCGTCATGAGTGTCGCAGATTGTACAGCAATCCCAGAGAACAGAAAATGGCCAAACTCATTAAGTTAGACTTGGACCGGCTGCACGGTTCACCTATTGCAATGTGGGTTACTTTGGTCCATGGACGATAAAGACAGGTAGAAAGAAAGTGAAACGGTACGGGGTCTTTACTTGTATGATATCAAGGGCTATCCATATCGAAGTGGCCAACTCCGTCACCACTGACTCTTTCATCAACTCCCCACGTCGCTTCACAGCAGTGCGCGAGCCATTGAGACTAATGAGTTCAGACCAAGGTACCAGCTTTGTCAGCACAGACTCAGAATTGAAGAGAGCTTTGGAAGAGATTGACCAAAGGTGCAACACTTTCTTGAAGAAAAGGGATGTGACAACCCTAAAGTAAAGATGAACGCCCAATCAGCAAGCCATGCAGGTGTTTGGGAGAGACAAATAAGGGCCATAAGAGGAACGCTCAAGGCCCTTGTTTAACAACAAGGGACGCAACTTGACGACGCAGGAATCATCAACAGTGGATCCCTGTCATTGGACAACCGGAGTTGTCCTTAATCGTCAGAATCACTCACCCTAACTATCTACTTATCTTGAAGTCCAACGTCATCCTCCCACCACCACCTGGGACATTTCAGCCTGTCTATATGTGTGCTTAAGAAACGTTGGAGACGGGTGCAGCGTATGGTGAATGGCATTGAGACTCGATGTAAAGAGTATGTACATACTTTTAAAGTGCGACAGAGGTGGGCCAAGGAGAAACTGGAAGTGAAAGTTTGAGACGCCATCATAATCGCAGATGATAACCGGCCACACAACCAGTGGCAGCTTGGCCGAGTGTTAGGAGTCTTTCCGAACTCAGACATCATCGTTCAAAGAGCAAAGATCGCCATAATTGACTCTACCTCGGATGGCAAAGGCAAGAAGACTTATAAGCCTAGACGTCTTGAACACCCTATTTGGAAGCTTGTCGTCCTCATAAAAGCCAGCAGCAGGAAACCGTAATCCAAGAAGCGTTTGATATTTCATAATTCTTGGTACCTAGTGACCAACTAGTGTCACCTGCGTAGGCCTTCTGGCTAGCCTTTTGAAGTGTTGACACCACTTTAAGTGTCATGTTTGATTTAAGTATATTCTGCACTTTACTGTATATTTTGACTGTTAACAGTTTTCGTATTCTTTGATATATAAATTGGGGCTAGCTTTGGGGAGCCACGGGTTCGATTTGGGTTCGATTTAAATATACTCATTGAAGAGCGAGTTGAGGCGATCCAAATAGATTAATTTTTAGACAGCTACGTGCAGCACTAGAGACAAAATTCACACAGCCTGCCCTTTTCTTTTGCACCATTTCTCACACGTCTTTATGCGTAAATTTCTTGCTAAAATTTTTGAAAAATCTGCAGACATTCAATAAACGCTGCGGGAGACAGCAACCGCAATCCAGCAGTTAAAGGGTTATCAGAAATTGAAAAGCATTTAGTTCAAGTGAAATATTTCAAAATAACAATAAATACGTTACCATTTCAAAAAATTGTAAATTTAATGTTACCTCATTGACTGTGACCCAAAAAATGAATGAAAAGATCCTACGTTTCCCTGCCCACAAAAAAATCCCCTTTTGGCGGTTCACGCTCACAGGCTCATTGGATGACGTCATCGCTAGAACGCTGACATTCACAGTGTACTCGTAAATAGCGCACAGCACATTCAGCATCGCACGCTTGCAATAGACCACAGTTTGGTGCAGTGGCGTAGTGTGGACTCGCACACGTCCACACAATTTTTTTCCTTCTCTGAAAAACAGTTTCAGAGGCATTCTGGGGTCGAGGCTATTAATGGCAAAATGAAAAGTCCATGAAATCCTTATCAAAAATCCATTTGGAAGGAGCTATCCTAGTCGGAGAAAAAGGAACATTTTCATCAAGTTTCCTTAACCACAGAAGAAAAAATGAATGTCCACACTTTGTATGTAAAACAGGTAGGCCTATGGGTGTATTTAATGTAGTTTGGTCCACAGGCAAACACTGTTTGAGTTCAAGAAGCCTCTTGAAGCCGGAAAACCGGATTGTTGATGTATGTTTTATAGTAATATGCACAAAATATGAACCTGAACAGCAGAAAACTAACTAAAGCGTTGATATTGAAACAATTCATGTATAAAGTGGATAAAAGGCGAAAAGGACGCGCCATAAATATTATAGAGAGGTCCCAACTTGACAAGGCCAATCAGTAATCATTTTTGTGTGTGCGTAACCTACGAAATGTCAGTGAAAGTCGAGCGCAGATCTGCATAGTTAACGCGGCCCATCCCTAGCCATGATATTCCTGTTAAACTGAAAGGCTCAGCCGGTGGATTTGAGATTTCTGAGGTTAAATTTTCTATTTGTTTTCTGTTATTAACGAAAGAGCAAAACCACACCGTGTGACTCCTAATGAACCATGCAATTTGGCATTTTAAAGGCCCGTGCATAGGATGCGTCAACTGGGATAAGTCATTTGGAAGCAGCAATTTACCCCTGCAAAGTCTGCCCTTTCAGCATAGCCCTAAATCTACTTACATGCGTGATTTGTTCTCGAACCACCCGGCCTTTTTAAAATACCGGATTGACTCCCTGTAGCCTCGAGGTTTTATCTTGGAAAATGTAGTTTGCCAAATGGCAAAAAATAATTGTCTGCTTATTTTCTGTCATAGTGAACTGTTGATGAATTAACATCAGCATTCCATTCCCGTTTTGCCGTAGCAAAATGACGTCACACGGGCATAACCAAAGTCGCCAAGTCGCCCTTCACGTGTGAGCGCAGCATTTAAACCTTGCTCCGTTTGCTTCAGTTTGTCATTGTTTGTACTACAAGTCATGTTTTGGAGATAATCGTAATGTCTTTTGATGAACTGTTAGAAGTGATGGTACAAACCCCGATAATTAATTGAAGAGTTAATTAAAACGTCGTTAATTAGTTGACTTTACATTTTGAACATGCATATTTATAAATGAACATATTATTGTAATGCGCATTTATCGTAATGTTCGTATAGTATTATTTATATTCAATGTTACAGATTTAACAAAGTCATTACAGCAGTCACGTGAAGTTTCTGACAAACATTCATTTACCTTAGAGGCAGTCCTCGCAGTTAAATACTAGTGTTACTGACTTTGAACAAAATATGATTTGGACACCGTCAAGTATCCCACACTTGCTATCTGAAATTGGTTTGAAGTTCTAATTACCAAATTATTGATATCTCAACGCCAGTTGTAGACCCCTAACTTGACCCGAAGTTGCTGTCAACTTATGGCCAGTAATTGGAGTGCCCCTTCCTAGCCTGCGTGTTACCCGGGGCATTAGAGAGGCCTGTGCTCCGGCCTTAGTAAGGGGCAGTTTTGATGAGCTGTCACAGACAGTTACGATCAGCTGCAGCAATAGCCAAGACAGAATCTCCTTTTGGTCATTCAGTAAATGGCGACTGCTCTTCAGCGCAAGTGAAATGGATCTC